GGACAAGGATGTTAAAAAATGGTATATCAAAGATGTGTTTAATGGATTAGTTTGCTTTCAACAAAGAAAACATTTCTGAGGGGAAATATTTGGAGGTTTCCAAAATAATTTTAGACCACAATTCGAAAACAACAGCAAGCTCCATTTATATTTCCAGCACTAGAAATGCCATTATTCTTTCTCCTAGGCAATGTGAAATCAGTTGTTTGACAGCTGCATTGTCCTTCCCATGTTGACTTGTCCCTTAATGCATTTCAGTGGTATTTTTTTTTTTCTCAGTAACAAACTATAGAATTTCAATAAGAGGAAAAATAACTTTGCATTGGATAGATGTTTTTCTCTTGTGGAATCAGTCTTAGAAATAAAAGTTGGAAGTTTTAGTTCAATAATTTTAAATCTCTGCATAATCTTTTCAGTTTTTAGTGAGGAATTTAAATGTTTTGTTTAAGGACAAAATTTTTTTTGTTTGATTTCTTCGCAAAGTTGTTGAGTTCTGTGGGACATACATTGAAGAAATGTTCTATTGCTCCAGAATTGAATTCCTTCTTGGAGTCAACATAGTTCTGAGATCTTAGTGGAAGAACAAGTAATCAAAGTTGTTTCAATTTCTGGTTTTAGCATCTGTTTTCAGTCTGACAAAAGAGACTGTGTCTTATTTCATACCTAAAATTGTTTTTCACCACTATATATACATGCAGAAATATATACTTATGTAACTATATCAATACATTTGCATGATATGCCACCTGGAAGTTGTCCATGTACAGACAGGAGGATGAGAGCTTAAAGATTTTAAAAATCGTTATGCACAGAAAAGGCCTCATCATAGGCCTCAGTCACACACCAATTAACAATGAATTCAGATACTAGTGTCCACATATGACAGAAGATAGAAAAAAATTCTCAGAATTTTAAAATTTAAAATACTTTGGTTTAAAATGAAGAGATACTTTTTAAAGACCTGATGGACTTAAATACAAGTGCAATGAAATGTTAAATTTCCTAACCTTAAACTTAAAAAAAATATTCTCCTGTTAAGGGAAAGTTTTCTTTCCTACAAACTCAAACACATTTTCAGACAAAATCAGGGTATTTTTAAAATATTAACTGTAGAGCTAGAATGATAGAAATTAAATTTATTAATGAGATGAATGTGTAGTTACTTATTAATGTAGATGAATGTATAACTAATATTTCTGATAATTTATTAAAATATTATTTAAGACATTTCATCAGTGGAATAAAAAAATATTTTCTTTTTTTTTTGAAAAACATATTTTTCAAGAAATGTAAGTGAGCTTTACTCTGATCCATGGGCTTGGAGGATGTTTCTAACCTTTTCTAACCTTTGCCTCTTGTGCTGTTGGTGCTCCTGGGCTGGCACAGAGGAGGACCCAGGCTGGAATGTGGCTCTGCACTCCAGGAGTAGCACTTCCACTGCCTCACTGCTCCTCCAGGGTGCTGTGGCACACACCTGGGGCTGTTCTTCAGCTGCTCTTTGCTTGGTTTTAGTGGCTGATTTCATTTTTGCTCCTAGAGAAATCTCTCTGCAGGCACAGCTAGAGCATTTTTGTGGAAAATATTCTCTTTCTTTTATCATACATCCTTTTTGATCTTTTCTCAGGCACACACCTGAGTGGACATTAAGTCACATTCTTTTGATGTGACAAGAATAGAGCTGTTTGGTATCAGTCACCATTCCTACCTGACCAGTCTTGAATTCCACTCACCTGGAAACAGAGAAGAACACTTCCAATGACCTGAGTTAAACTTTCCACACCTGATTATAGAAGTCTATAATGATTTGTTATTTCCGATCATCTTTTTTGGAGCTAATGTTGCTCTTTGATGTTTGCTTTAATCTTCCAATATAAACAACCACACTGAAATCTCATAAAACCAGACCCCAGAACAGGGGACGTGACATTTTCTCTTCTTAGTTAAGGACAGCATGAATGTGGTGGAACATTGCATGGTAGCTGTGTTGTGCGTTGCTTAATCAAACTAGATCCAAAGACTGAGAAAATACCTTCAAGAACTGGGAAGGGCTCCACCTTTTACGTTTAGAACATCTCCTGTTTTCATTCTGGGATAGATAATTCAATAAATGGGTACATAGTTCAAGTCACAGTTTAAAGAAAAAAGTTTTAAATGTTTCTTAGAGCTCATATTTAGAAAAAAATAATGATAAGACAAAAAAATCTCATGTCTTGAGACAGAAGTATAGGTTGCCGCATTGCCCAATAAAATTTACTTTGGACCTTTAATTCTCATTCATTCTTGATTTAAATATCTATCTTTCCTCTACTTTCAGAAGTGCATTTCTAAAATATCAATTCTGCTTTTTTTTGGAAGCCTTGCTATTTTCTCTTCATTTTTCTGAGTTTCACTGGAACTTTTAAATCGTAGAATCATGAATTAATACTGGATGTGAAGCCTCCCTTGTAGGAATGTGAATTTTTTTAGAATGTAACCAGAAATTTATCTCAAAGGTCTATCACTGGGATAAAAATGAAAATTAAAAACACAGGAGACATCAAAGTCCAAGAAAAGGGAGGGAGACAGTAAGAAGCAGGAAAACTGAAAAGATCCTCAAACATGCACCTGGAAATTACAGAGGAGATAGTTGCTGTGCTGTGATGCATTTCAGCTACATCCACAACTATTTTAGCCGTCTAGGTGGAGTTAAATCTGTCCCATGCCCTGTTCAGAACTTCTCAAAATACTTGTTTTTTGTGGGTTTTATTTTGGGTAGTTTCTTTTGGTTTTTTTGGTTTTTTTGGGTTTTTTGTTTTGTTTTTAATAATGTTTTCAGCACTTGATTTGTTTGAAAATGTTTTCTTCTAACTCTGAGCTCTTACCAGGACACTGTTAGCTTTTTAAGAGCTGTGCATGTGTTTCTTCTCTCTTGGTTTTGAGGAGTTAGGAGCATGCATGGGTGAAACTAGGTTAAAGAGACATGAACTTCACAAGAAAGCAAAACTATGGATTTGGGAAAGGAAATGTTTTATTTCATCAGTTATTTTACTACTTTAAAAATATTATTGAACTTACACATGTAAATAATGCAGAGGTTTTCACAAACATGTATGCAATTATTTAAAGGCTTATTGGCTTCTCAGGGAAAGCTTTCCTAAATCTGGAAATGCTTCAGTGAGCTGAGTAACTCAGTGAGTGAAGTGATGGGGACTGTTTCCAGAAATATGTCCCAGAGGTGGCTGGACAACAGAGCAGAGTAAGTGTGCTTTCAGGAAGGTCTGGAACATGGTGCACTTAAGGACATCTGTAGAAAGCTAAATCATCACCTTTTCATTACACAGGAGGCACCTGAAGAAGAAGAATGGTTTTTTTTTTCCGTCTGATGGGTAGTGAGACAGTGAACCTTTTTTCACCATTTTTGTTTTAACCGAGGCAAATGCACTCATCCCTGTTGAATGCAGGACTCTGGCAGTAGAGTAGCAGCTCTGCACTACAAGGAGCCCTGTTCACAGGAGGAAGAAGCCACCTCACAGGGCTCTGTGCTGTGTGCACCTTTAACTACTCAAAGGTCAGAAGACCTATCTAAGATAATACAAAAAGAGGGAAGAATGAATCAATAGCCAGAGACAGCCACTTCTCTTCACAGACTAAAGGAACAGTCAAAATCAATGGCTAAGATGCAATACCTTGCAAATGGCTAAAATTAAGGCAGGTGAATCCCAGTCAAATCCTACTGTTCAGGTGCAAGTGTGCAGGGATGCTGGGATATTTTTCCACACAGCTGCACCAAGTCTTTTTTGGTTGTTTGTTTCATTGGTTGTTGGATATTTTTAATTTGTTATTTTGTGTGTGTACATCCCAAGCAAAGCTGAGAGGAAGGAAATGGAAGGGAGTAATGTTGTGTACAGAGTCCAGTAGGAAATCATGCTGAGAAGATCTGTAATGCATACTTGGTTATTAATGAAAGATGTAGGAGAATGTTGCTCACCAGACCTCTTTGCTTACTGGTCACGTTTGGTCATTGCTGGAGGCTAAGAAGAAAAGTCTGGGATTTCCTTTAAAAAAAACCAGTGCATGAGGTTGTTAACAAGAGCTGGAGAACAGAATAAAAGGAGCAAATTACAGCAAAACAGCGTGTGGATGTGGAATGTTACAACAGGGTAAATGATGAATATGTGCCCCATGTGGGGATTCAGACATGTCAAGAGATGTGACAGATTAGATCTCCAGTGATCTATTCAGAAGGTCAATGTCTAGAGAATATGACATCACCTATGTAATTCTGAGAGATGAAAAGGTGAAAGATGAAAGCAAATGCATTTATGAAATGAAAAAACTCCCTCACAATTAAACAAAGTACTTGTATTTGTTAATATAATTTATTTTTTCCATTTATTTATACCTAATTGCCATGTTAAAAGTTAATTTTTGTAATTTTGATTCTTTTATGAAACACACATATTAATGGAGTAATATGTCCCTTTATCTTGTGAATTCTTGGGAAATTAAGGACATGAATCAAAATCTAAAAATAAGGAAATTATCTATTACTTTATTTTGATTATCTGGAGATTATTTTATTAATATATAATTTTAAAGAAATGTGATTTTTTATTATATTTAATTTTTTAATTATTTTTTTTTGATTTTTAAATGATATTCCTTATTCTGGGTATAGTCTCCATCACATACACACCCTGAATTTGAGAATAAAAAATCAAACTTGCCAAGTGCTAGTGGAAGTGCCTCATGTACTCATGTAGTGAGGAGGATCATCTGGGAGATTGTGGTCGTGGGAGGGAATGATCTGGGCAGGGATGTAGCCTTTTCCTGACCTTTGTCATGCTGCTGCAAACTAATTCCACTGAATTTTCACTTTGCTCCCTCTCATCACCCCACTGCTGGCTTTCCTTTTTATGTCACATTAAAGTTGAAGCACTTCACCTTCAAGGCGCTTCAAAGCTGCACCTTCCCTACAGATCACCTGTAATTCACACAAAGTGTCATCTCATCCCTGACAGGTCACTGATGCCAGCCAGCTTCAGCCTGCACTTGTTAGCATTTCAAGGAAGCAGTTTTGTGTCTTCTCTGACTCTGCCTGTGAGGAGCTCCCTGCACACCTCAGTGAAGCTGCCTCATTACCCTCCATCAGATGGAAAGCTCTTCGTGGGCAGGGTGCTTGTGACAATCTCCAGACAACGAGGCTGCTGCCAGGCTGAGCCCCTCTTAGCTGTGCTGCCCACCCTCTGTGCCATGACTCCCATCTCCTCCCCGCTGCTTGTCTCTTCTCTTGTGTTGTCAGGCTTTTGTCCTTTTTATCCCCCTGGCCCTGTACAGAGCTACACAAATTAAAGCCCTTGTTGATGACTCCTGGGCACTCCTGTAATAGTAGCTTATAAGAATAAAAATGTGACTGAATTTAGTTATTTAAGACTTGGTGGTAGAAAGCCTTGATTTGTTATGGAATTTGTCAGACACATGCTTTGTTCAATAAAATGTATTTCTGTCTCACTAACTTCAAATGGAGAGAGTGTATATTTATTTTTAAATCTGTGGTTAAGTATCTGGATGAATCATGCTGTTAAATAAGCTGTAATTTTGGTGTCATCAGCCCCTGCATATTCAGGTCCTCATTGTCACCCTGACTCTGAGCTGCTTGCAGACGCTTCACGGGGAATGCCATGGCCCCAGTGGCAATTAACCACACAACAGGAAAGGTGGAGAAGGCTCTGTTCTAGGGCTGGTGCTTGGCAAGGAGGTCGTGTCTTCAATTCAGGGTTAATTACAAATAACCTCTGTTGTTGCATAGCTGCATCCATGCACATGGGAATAGAATTGAAAGGAATTGGAAAGTGATGTATGGAGATCAAAGGGAGGCTGGAGGCCTGGAAAATGAAAATTATCTAGCACCTTTAAATATGCTTAGGCAACCTGTCATGTTACAGAACATGAACATAAGCTTGTCTTCTGACAGACTGGTGTGACCTTTGTGATTTACTCCATGTACCCAATGCAGAATAGGAGAAAATGTGTTCTGTATAGCAGGGCAAGGCAAAGGAGAGCATTATTAATTGCTTTGAATGTGTGGAATAAGACACTTTGTGATATATATAAAATACAGCAGCTGAGTGTGTTCTGCAGAAATGTAAATAGACAATAATAGTACTCTATAAATTTCTGTCTTATTTATGGAAGGCTGATTGTATTTTGGATTTTGTTGCTGTTCAGGATGTTAACTATGCACTCTGCTCATGTGAGGTTCCTATTTTGGATCCTGCAAAGTATGGGGTTTAATAAAGCAGCCAACCAAAATCTAAAGAAATCAAAATTAACAGTATGGGATGAATGTAGTCTTCAGAAATGCTTAAATGTAGGCTGGACTGAAATCTTCTGTACCTCCTGGCACAGCTCTAGAAAGTCAGGATATGATCTGAGCTTGTGTGATTAATTAGTCTGAAGCTACTAGGGGCTCTTTGCACATCTATCAGTTTTGCCCTTTAGGCCATAAGACATATAATTCGACCTTGAGTCCAGGCCCCTGCTGTTCCCTCCTGCCTTGCTGACTCCTCTCCAGGCAATATTCAGCTCCAGAGGAGCAGCTGGTCACCTCCAGTGTGCTCACTGCCATGAGATGTGGTGCTGTGACAACACCACAGAGGTCCCATCTCTTTCAGGTATTGTTTTTAACCCACATTTTTTAACCAATGCACAGCCTTTCCAGCCTTGTCAGAAAGCCCTTAAGGATTTAAGAGAAAATTCTCTTCTATAAAATAGTTTGTAAAACAAGAACTTTAATTTCTACATGTTTCTAGAATAACTGCATTGGAACACTATTTGTTTATCTTAGATTTTTAAATACAGTTTAGAAGGAGTTTTGAGGAGCATAGACTTGTTTGTACAATGAAATACTAATATTTTACTAAGACCACAATACTATTTTTTAAGACCACACTGTAGAAATACTGTATTTCTAACTCAAAGTAAGAAGTAAACAGGGGTTACCTTTAAATAAAGGAGAAACAAGACTATTTGTGATTCCTCAGTCATTCTACAATTATCTTCCTAGATAAAAGGTACCTAAATTTTAAAGTGATATATAGTGGTAAAAATGTACCAGAGTGAAAAATATAAAGGACTCATTAAAAGTTAACAGGATGTCTTAGTTACTATTTTATATTGTATATATATAAATTATATGACACATTTTCTAGTAAATTGGGAAATCAAAGGTTTTAAGCTGTCTGAGTCAGTTTTTATCTAATAGATGGACTGGTGGGTGCAAATCTTCACCCAAGAAACTAACATGTTTGCATTTTTGCAAATCACCTGAAGTGATTCTTAGCAGAATTTTCTGTGTCAGAATGGCTGGAAAAGATTGTCATTGGAGGTCATTCCACATCTGGAAGAGTGTCATTAGTAGAAGCAAGTGAAATTGTAGCTGTGTACATATAAAGTCAATCCTCATAGGCCAGCATATCGCCAAGGAAGATCCATCATTAGTTGGTCAGTAGGGTCAGAAGATGTCCAGACTCTGAGGGAACTACCAGACTCAACTGGCTCTACCCAGTTTCCCATCAGCCCTGCCCACATGCCCAGGAGCCCTGATTCAGCACAGATCCAGACACCAAATCGCCCAGGAGCCCTGATTCAGCACAGATCCAGACACCAAATCTTGTATTTTAGGTTAGCCTGTGTCTAGTCCTTGCTTCCTGCATGGAGGTTGGACCTACATTGTAGGTTTGCCAGCAACCTGTGTCTATCCCCATCTCCTACAGCTCAGTATGGACCCTCACCAACAGATTAATCACTTTACCTTGTCTGGGGCTGTTAAAAAAGCCTCTCCCTACCACTGTGACCACTGTTCCAGGCAGATCAGCTGTATTTTAATGAGCTCTTGAAAAGCCAGTTTCTTGCTGCAATAGGAGGTATCCTGTATAGCATTGCAATGGGACAGTTGTTTGTAAATTTTAGGGGCATTGTCCCCAGCACAGGATAGAGCTGTCTTTTCTTCCTAAGATAAGTAGTCAAGGGAGAGAGAGAGAAGACAGATGGCTAAAATAGATTCCTGCTTTTTAATGCTCTCTGAAGGATCTTTCCTCTTGTCAGTGTTTACAGGACCTCAGGAGAGATGGTGGCTTAACTAAAGATTTCTTTTACACAGGCTGCTCCCTGTATGAAGGAACACTCCATATAAGACCTGAGGTTGAATGTTTCAGTCCCATGGTTTGAATTGCAGTATTGGCAGACCTTTCAGTTCTTTCAAACTGGAGTTTGTATCTGTAAGTAGAATATCCCACAGAATCATAATATCATTGAGGTTTAAAGTGACCTCTGGAGGTCAACTGGTACAACCCTTCTTCTCAAGCAGGCTTCCCAGAACCATGTCCAAATGGCTTTTGAATATCTCCAAGAATGGAAACTCCACAACCTTTCTGGGCAACCTGTACCAGTGTTTGGTCACCCTTACTGCAAAAATGTGTTTCCTGATGTTCAGAGGGAATGTTCCATCTTTCAGTGTGTGCTCATTGCCTCTGTCATGGGGCACCACTGAGAAGAGCCTAGGTCTGTCCTCTGCCCCCTCTATTCAGGTACCCATATGCATTAATGACTTCACCTCTGCTTCCCAAACAGTCCCAGCTTTCTCAATCTCTCCTCACAGAAGAGTTACTTAATGACATTCGTGGCCCTTTGCTGGACTCTGCAGTATGTTCATTCCTCTCATGTACTGAGCAATGCAGAAGCAGTAGCTGTAATCTCTGCAACACAAAAAGTGTTCCTATGGAGATGTTGACTTGGGCTATAGCATGAGGCAGGATGGAATCGCTGATTCAAAGAAAATTCTCTTAAGATTTCAGCACATCCAGAGTCTTGACCACCTTCAGCATATACAGGAGCAAAAAATCCTTGGTTTTCATACCTCAGTTTCTCTTGATGAGTTAAGATATTAAATAGTAATGGTTGACATGGTTAAAAGCACTTTGGAGTATTTTCAGAACTTTAGGATTGTTTGTAAACATTCACTGTTTGAGATTCAGAATGGATCCTTACTAGAAAGTCATGAGAGATTTCAGTCACACCAGCAGCTGCCATGGAGAAAATTTCCTGTTGTGTCACTGTGAGATCACTTTCATGTGTGCCAAACTGAACAGCCAAAATCTACTTATAAGCATATAAAAGCACATAGGTAACCATATACTTTCACACAGTAATGGGATGATGTTTGTAGCGAAATTTTTATGCAGACAATTTAGTGATGACATTTTTGATAGCTAAAATGAGATTTTAGTTTTAAATCTATTATTTCTATTTAGGAATAGGAGTAGAAAAAGGAGGATCAGTAAGAATATTCAGAACAAAATGCACAGAATTGAGAAGTATTGAGCAGTACATTTCATTCAGTAATTTTCTGAATGTACCAGAAGGTAGAAGGTACCAGAAAAACTGCAAGAATACCACAGACTTAAAGGAAAACAAAACCAAACCAAGATAAATCAAGGTGGAAATTTGTGTTGTGACCGGTGGACTTAAATTTCATCTTCTGGTAAGGTTACATATTGGTGAAAACACAGGTATTTGTCCATCAGACTGCATCTGCAGTGCTGCTGGGAGTCACAGCAGAGTGACAACTCTGCTGACCACCAAGTCACGTTAAGGAGTTGCAGAGTGCTGCAGCCCTGAATGTTATTGGCTGTTAATATGTCTCATTAAAGTCATGGTGTAATATATGGAATCAAGCTGTATCTTATATAAATAAATTTAGTCTTTTCATTTTGCATGGCAATTACTTTATGTTAGCTTCCTTTGGGAGCCATTAAAATTATGTTTTGACAAAGCTAACAGCCTTAGATAGCCAAAGTATTACTGCTCATGAGAAGTGGGTGGTGTCTAGCCATCTTTCATCTCTTGTTGTCAAGAGATAAAGCCATATGAGAGGAGATATGAGAGTTTAGAAATTAAAAAAACAGGAATATCTAGCTGATGGGGTTTTTTTGTGAAGAATAGAAAGAAAGAAAGTTACCAGTTTGGCTTAATCTTTGTAATCTCAGTTAATAGTACATTGAAGAAAAAAAATCTCTTGAATGTGTGCAGTAAGCAGTGAGTACAAAGGACTACTTAAATGCTGGATATGGTGAACTTTGCATATATTTCTAGAAAGTAGAGAGATTTCATGGCCATTATAGAATGTATTCTTTATGTATTTTCTGTAATCAAAGAGAACATTGAAATATATATATATATACATGTATATTTACCATGCATACTGTACATATCAGCATAATGCAAAATTTAGAAAAGTCAAATGGAATAGAAATACCTTTCAGTCAAAGAAAAGATCAAGGTTATGCTGACATGTTCCAACTTTTCTTTCCTCTGTGGTTTAATTTCAAAATGCAATTCTGATAAAACCCCTGTTAGAGAAATACCTGCATCAGTGGGATGTGATTAAGTTCATTGTCTTTTCCCCTGACCATGTGAAGACCCATTCAAATGCCTGTGTTA